GAGGGGCTCCAGGCACCTGCCGGCTCCAGGCGCCTCAGCAGCAGCCCCTGGGCCTCTCCTTGCTCCGTCCGAGGGAGCACAGACACAATGTAAAAACGCTGGCCGTGAAATACAACTGGGGAACATTGAACTCACCCTCACAGCGAACCAGAGCTACATGAAATAAGTTGTCTTAAAACGTTTACCCCCCAAACACCACATATCAGTGTTTCCCCTGGAGAATGACTGCGCATGGGGGCCCGAGCCCGGCCTCAGTGACCCGCTTCCCCTGGCCTGCTCCACTCTGCACACCCAGCCGCCCTCCCGCCTGGGGAAGGGGCAGGGCCACTCCTGGCGCAGCATCTCCTGGGGCTCACCCTGCTACCCCCAAAGGCAGAGGAGGCTGGGCCAGGCTCTCCAGCAGCCCCTCATCGCCTCCGCTCCTGACAGCATCGAAGATGCCCCCACAGGGCCCAGGGGAAGGGAGGGGCACAGGGCCGGCAGAGTCCACCCTGCGCTGCTGGCACCCGCCCGGCCGCTCGGTGCCTCCCCAGGAACTCTTCTCAGGGGCCGGCAGCTTCACAGCTGAGAACCGAAGAAAGGGACAGGCAGGGCCCCCAGCCTCTCGCCTGCACCACACATGGCAGCTCTCTGCCCAGGGCAACAGCATCAGCAGGGGGCAGGCCCACACCCAACGCAGACTGGCATTGGGGCACAGCTCCCAGCCTCAGCAGGGGCATGCCCACACCCAACACAGACTGGCATTGGGGCACAGCTCCCAGCCTCAGCAGGGGCATGCCCACACCCAACACAGACTGGCATTGGGGCACAGCTCCCAGCCTCAGCAGTGTTGGGGGCTGGTGGGAGGTGGCTCAAGCCTCCTCTGCCTCCTTGGGTTTCACATCACGGCCTCACAGGAGAACAGCGCGATGGGCGCATCTCTCTGTGCGTCTCCAGTCAAGCCCAGGCCAGCAGAACAGAGCCGCCCCCCCCCCCCCCACCTGTGGGCGGGAGGTCTCTCCTCCGGAGGAAGAAGCAAATGGGTGCGCAGGGCCATTTTATTCCGCTGGAAATCCATCCGGACAGGCCCTCTCCCTTGGTGCCCCCCTGGCTGCAGAGGCTGCCACCGGAGCTGTGCGTGTCCCTGAGCTGGCGGCATCACGTCACCGTGTACAGCTCCTCCCGGTGGTTCTTACAGATCTGATAGTGGCAGGCGAGCCCCTGTGAGCAGGCCCAGGGCTCAGCGTGCTTGTCCCGCGGGGGCAGCAGGAAGGCTGCGCTCCCCGCCAGCAGCATGTGCCAGATGCTGTGGGTATAGTAATAGTTGTCGCTGGTCATCATGGAGGCGTAGATGGCAATGGCCACGGCGGCCATGGAGATGCCGGGCAGGAGGTAGAAGGCCCAGCGCTGCCAGGAGGGTGGGTAGCAGCGCCGCCGGTGCCCGCAGCGGTACACCTGGGGAGAACCGTTGAGAGAGCACTGGCACGGGGCTGCAGCTGTACCTCCCAGGGGCCTGCCCACATCTGGGTAGGAGGACAAGGACGGGCAATACTCGTAAGGGGCTCCAGGGCATAGAGACCTGAGGTGTCCTCAGGCCTGGGCGAAGCCACACAAGGCCCTGAGCGCCAGGGCCAGGCCTCAGCACACGTGAGGGACTCCAACTCAGGACCAGCAACATGGCCAGAACCAGTGGCCAGCTCTCTCCAGAGTGGAGGGTCTGTGGGGAGCTCCTTACCCACATGGTGACCATGACCACCAAGGCAAAGAGACAAGGCCCCATCATGTTCCAGGCGCCCCTGCGGTCCAGCTGCAAGGTCATGGCCAACACCAGTGTGCCCAGGAGAAGCAGAACCTGAGCAAGACACAGGGATGACACAGGGTCACGGAGCCCAGGCCAGGGCCGTTCTAATGGCACAAGGTCCAGCAGGAGCTGGTGGCTGGGGCGTGCTGGGCATCCTGCCCCCCTCACTGCCCCCAGCACCCCGCCCACCCCCTTGGAGCTGCTGGCACACTGCTCTGCTCCGCTGGTCGGGCGGGAGGCGCCCTCCTCTAGTTACTGACTCATCCTGAGGCTCAACTTAGCCAGGCAGGGCTCCGGGTCACATGTCTCCATCAGCCACGCCGGCTGTGGCAGAAAAAGCCCCACAGTGTTCTCAGCGCCCTGGGAGAGAGACGGGCTGGGAAGGCCCTGCCTCACCGTCTTCCACCTTCTCTCCCCAGAGCCCTCTGAGCAGTCCGCACAGTCCCTTCCAGTGCCAGAGGGAGGGTCATTATGAAAGACGGGAGGTTTCTAACGGCAGCAGCCAAACCCTCTTTCTGGTCTCTCCCTCAGCATGCAAGGCCTGTGTTCCTTCAGAGCCCATCCTTGGGTGTGGGGAGGCGCTCACATATTTCAGGGCGGCCTTCAGCCGCGCCATGCAGAGGATGGTGGCCCAGATGGACACCCCAGAGCCCAGGAAGTCGCAGTACTGCAGGGTGTCGTAGCTCAGGATGCACAGCACGGCCTCCCCCGGCTGGTCGCAGGCATGATAGAACTACAGGGTGGGGGGCAGTGAGCAGAGAGGTGTGAGGGGGCGGTGAGTGGACACTCAGACCCCCCCCCCCCGCCCCCCAGGGAGCAGCAGCACACCGTGGAGAAGAACATGGTGTAGGCGTAGACGGAGGCCTCCACCAGGAGGCAGCGGTGCACAGAGAGGGCGATGGGGGCCAGGAACACGAGGTTGCTGAGGGTGAGCAGGAGCACGGCCACCTGTTGCTGAGCCAAGGTCTGGGCGGTGCTGTTGTCTGTGCAGCTCCACCCACGCCAGCCTGTGGGCAGGGCAATGCTGAGTGGGCTGAGGTTGGGCAACTGAGGCCAGGCTAATGGGGGAGGCACTTCTGAACCTCAGGGCACGGCCTGGAGAGAAGTCCGTTTCTCACCGAGGAGCAGGCTGGGACAAGTGTGTGTAGGTGCAGGCATGTGTGGGTGGGTATAGGACAGTGTGGGCAGACGCAGACAGCTGTGGGGCTGCATGAGCAGGTGTAAAGAAGTGTGGGGCAAGTGTAGGGAGGTGTGGGGCAGATACGAGGCAGCTATGGGACAGGTGTGGGGCAGGTATATGGCACGTATGGGGCAGGTGTGGGCAATATGTATGGGACAGGTGTGGAGCAGGTGTGGGCAAGATGTGTGGGGCAGGTGTGGAGCAGGTGTGGACAGGTAAGAGGAGGGTATGGAGCAGGTGCAGGCAGATGTGAGTCAGGTGTGGGACATGTCTGTGGGCAGGTGTGGGCAGAGGAGGCCAAGTCAGGAGGCAGTACCATCTCTGGGGGTGCCTTTCTGCCTGGGGGATGGGAGGTACATGGCAGGAGTGGAGAGAAGGCGTCTGCCCTTGCTCGGCGAGGGTGCTCTCAGCCTGGGCAGTGAGCTGGGCTCCTGGAGGAAGGCACAGGGCTGAGAAGTCAGGGACAGGAGTGTCCGGAGGCTCCGGGCTGGCCCTCACCTGCCTTGCAGCTGCAGCCCGCATACAGGTAGCCATGTCTGCGCAGCAGGAGGCACTGGCCGTATGGCCCGCAGTCGTTCAAACAGGGCACCAAGGACAAGGCGGTCTCCACGAGCACCGAGGCCTCCTCACACCCCCTGGAGGAAGGGGCCCAGGAAGGCTGGCTGCGGGGTGTGCTGGCCAGCCTCCGCCAGGGCTCCAGCGGGCTCCTGAGCCCTGGGAGACAGCAGCTGTGAGACACAGAAGCCAAGAGGCCCTTCCCCTCCGCACCACACTGCACCCAGCCTGTCTCGGGCTGTCCTGAGCCAGGCCCCTTCCCTGTGCCCTGACTCCCAGGGCTGCCTGAAGAGGGGTGCCCATTGGAGAAGGGGAGTCCTTCGTAACTCCCGGAAGGCAACTTACCTTGCGGCTTGTAGGAAGCTGGGCCACTGTCAGACTCAGATGCAGGCAGCCTGATCATGGCCCTGAACGCAATGACTCAACCACCCGGTGCCTCTGGTGGCCCCACGCCAGCCCCCAGGTTTACTTACTCAGGACTCTGAGGGCACACGAGCTGCAGGGAGAGGTACCAGCTGTCCGTCTCTGGGTAGGGAATGATAAGGTGGGCCTTGCCAGACACGGTGCTCAAAGACAGGGCATACCCCTGGAAGAAGGCTGCAGGGGGAGCAGGAGGCCTGGTAAGAGGGGCCAGATGGGCTGGCGTGGTCCTCAGCCGGGTGCTCCAGCCCGTACCTGTGGTGCAGTTGAGCGCAGCGCTGAAGCTGAGGAAGGGCGAGGCAGCGTTCACGCAGACCTTCACCCAGGTGTTGTTGGGCATCACACTCTACAAGGGGAGGCCGCGCAAATCAGCCCAAGTTCCCAGTCTGATGCTGCCACTGTCTGTGGCTCCACTGGCCCAGAGTCCCCAGGACCCTCCCCGCAGCCCGAAACACCCAGCCTCTGACCCCGCCCGCAGTCCCATTTCCTCCCTTTCTGCAAGGGGTGCCCCTACCCGGCCCAATGCCTATTGGGGCCACCCCCACCCAGTGTCCATGATAAAGTCAACGCCCGAAGGCTGAGCAGCCTCACTCAGCCTGGAGCTCTGTGCTGGGAGCTGCGCTGGGCCGAGCCCCACCTCGTTGGCCCACAGGGCGATGGTGAGGGAGCCCCCGCTGTCCATGCCCGTGCTCAGCTGCAGCCGCATCACCGCAGGCACATCCGACTGCACCAGCACCGAGGCCCTGTCCGGGGGCCTGAAGTGCACAGACACCACGTCCACGTCTTCCCGCACGGCTTGGTAGCTCAGGAGGCAGAAGGGGCCGCCGCCCACACGGCTGCTCCCCGCCAGGCCCCGCCAGCCAGGCCCCGGGGGCAGCAGACCAGCAGACGTGTTGTTGCGGCTCTGGTTTGAACTGTTCTGCAGAAGATGCTGGAAGTTTACGATCCAAGGCCTGCAGGCTGTCAGGAGGACAGGGCCCAGCTGGAGAAAGGGCTGGGGACCGAAGGCAGGGCACAGCCACCCCGGCCTGCCTCCCCATCAGCCCACCTGTGAGAGAAGCTACAGCTATGAAAGCCACCAACACACGGGGCCCTGCCAGGCTCTTGGCTGTCACCTGCAACCACCGGTCCCAGGGCGGCGAGGGCAGCAGCAGGCGGCAGGCCTGGGCGGGGCCAGTGCAGGTGAGCACCTTCTGGAAGTTGCTGGGCAGGGTAGCTGAGCCCACGGTGAGGTGCACGGGGCAGCCCCGGCTCCCGTTGGACACACAGCCCTGCAGCTCCAGCCGCAGCTCCTGGGTGAACTCGGGGACGAAGATTCTGCAGCCAAGGGGGTCGGGCTCGCTCAGGCTTTGTGGCTGCCAGTGACCCCCTCACTGGTCACACTCACCGTGGCTGCCCCACTTCCCAGCAGAACCCCAAGACCCAGAACCCAGCCTCTCCCACCCGCAGGGAGGAAGTGGTAACACCCACACCATCAACCGGAGCCTGGGCCTCCCCCAAACCCCTACTCACTTGAGGTAGATGGGCTGGGAGAGGAGGGTCTGTGGCAAGGGTGTGTCGGGCTCCAGGATGGAGACCTCGACTACCCGCACGACCAGCATGTCAGGCTGGAAGATGTAGGCACAGGTGGGAATAAAGCCCTGGGGAGAGAAGGAGAGGTGGGGGAGGGGATTTCGTGGGCACGGGATGGGGCAGGACCAGATGGGAGGTGGGCTAGGCTGGGGTGGGGGAGGCGGGGCTGCAGCAGGGCCTTGGCAGGGTCTGTCCTGAGGAGGTAAATGACAGGGACCAGCCATTCCCACACGGGTGTGTCCTGCTCCTCCATCAGGAGAGCAGACCCCTCACCTTCACCTCAATCTTCTGGGATGAGGGGGGCAGGTGGGCAGCCACAAACCAGTCCCCAGGTGCTGGGTGGGAGACGTTGATGGAAGTGTTGCTCTGCAGCATCTTGATGAGGAAGGAGGGCTGCACGGAGGTGTTGGCAGGGAAGCTGGTACCCAGGGGGTTGATGACGGGAGGGGCGCCATAGCGGAAGTACCTGGAGGGGGGGACAGCAGGGCAGGCATCGGATGCGGGCGCT